CTTGCATCCAAGCGATAAATCCCACTTAATCATGGTGTATGCTTCTTTTAATGTACTGCTGAATTCAGATTTGTATTATTTTGTTGAGAAATTTTGCAACTACATTCATCAGGCATAGTGGTCTGTAGTTTTCTTTTCTTACAGTGTCCTTATCTGGCTTTGGTATCAGGGTAATCCTGGCCTAGTAAATTTGTCTTGGAGTTTTCCTTCTTGTTCAATGTTTTGGAAGGGTTTGAGAAGGATTGGTGTTAATTCTTCTTTAAATGTTTGGTAGAATTAATACCTGTCTATTTTGATGGCCTCTGGCTCTTCCAGGACTATGCTCATTACAGGGATCATGGGCAGGTCTCTGGTGTCTTACTGGTCTCTGCCACACGGCTGAGGATTCTGAAGACAAAAAGAAGGCATCTTGCCAACTATCTGGCATCCTGGCGAGTTTAAATTGCAACTTGAGCCTTTCAAGTTTGTGACTGGAGGGGAAATGCAACTTCCTGGTTCATAGGGAGAGGTTCCAAAAGTTTTTCTGACTCCTTTTGATGACTAACAGCAAATGTAAATGAGTCCGATAGAAGTATATCACATTTCTCAAACAATGCATAACGATCTGGGCATACACATGGAAGAGTTTTAGGAAAATGAAGGCTGGTCTTTATTTTTTGTTGTCCCTCAAACACTAAAATATCATTAGCCATAATACTAAGCACTAGATTAGATTTTTCTATTTCCAGTTTTCCTGCTGGGATGAGTAAATAAACAGATGGAATAAAAGCTTCAAAGCAAAACACGGAGAAATTGACAAAGGGAGCTGTTGACTACAGAACAGTACGGGAGGATAGGGATGGCTGAAATGAGAGAAAGGAGAGTCTGGGGTAAGGAAGCATTGACAGAATGTCAAGGGAAGGCACCATGTCTGACTGGAAGCTCTGGACCTCTGGTCAGCCCCATTAGAGGCCAAAGGAGACAGGCGCTGAAAGCATAAGTGGAGAAAGTAGATGCTACACCCAAACTCTGGGAGATCTGGGGAGCATAAGACCATGCTTCTTTGAAACAATTCTGAATTAAAATGGCTCTACAGATCTGATTTTCACCAGAGTGGCCTTATTTCCCTGAAATATTGGTTCAGGGAGCACCCCAGACTTGGGAGGTAGTTTCCTCAGCGATGACAGAGGGACCCTCATAAGGCATCTAGCAGGTTTAACTGAAAAAATAAAGACAGGAAGAGAAAATGGCAGATGTCTCATGGGGTTTGAGGTCTTATTCCATGGCACTCATGAGACACCCTCATTAGATCTGCTTGGGGAAATTTTAGGAAAAGTAGGGGAGCTTCAAGTCTCATAGTCAGCAAGACGCAACAGGGAAGACAGATTAGGAGAGGAACAAAAGAGTCTTCTAGCTTTTTATAAATTAGCTCCTTGAGGTCGTCCCTCTTTATTCATCTTAGTAACTTTTTTTTCCCATGTGCAGAAAGATTCACATTTATTAGTTCAAATAAATACCTAACACTCTCTAAACACACATCACCAGGCCCATTGGCTGAAGTCAAGACATTACTGGTTCTAGTCTACATGACTGTTGCCCCTCCTGAGGTCACTGCTCCTCATCTGCATTCAACTCTGCTGCTGCAGCAGATTTCAAGCCCTCTCTGCTGCTACACGCCAATCCATGCATTGCTCCCACATCAGTTTCCCCATGCACATTCTACTGTTATGTCCCTCATGTTACTGTTGCTGATTGCCCCCATCCTCACCCTGGTCTATTATCCACATTGATGTCTAAGACCACTTCTCCCTGCATCCTGGGACATGCCTTTCTATGTTGTCTGTCCACACCTAAAGTTTCTTTCTACTACCAGAGGATACCATTATTTTTTAGGATTAGAGCTTCCTCTATTTGTATATTCCATTTATTAATGGAGTTGGATCGGGTTCTCATTTGGGCTAGGACGGGGATGAAGGGGTGATGCTGCCATATACGATATGGTGGCAGTCATGCTCTGTAGTCCTTTCAGCATCTTGGAGATCATGTCTGTGTGATGAATCTGCTTTTGTGTGGGGTAGACTACCCATTTTATTAAGTTCTCCTCCTTATTGGTGATAGCAGTGCCTTCAAGCCCATCTTTATACTTATGATGGGTAGGCTCTGAAGGTTACCACTCTGAAGGGCGAGTCCCTAACCAGTGCCTCCAGGAATCTTTGGTCAGATACACAGTTTATACATTCCTTTCTCTGAACCAAAATCCTAAAAGAGAGATATATTGATAAATTAAGGAAAAAGCCAAAAGCAGTGGGAATTTTTCCTACTTCTTATTTGGGACTCTAGAAACAGAGAACCTTATAGGGGTCCTTTACCCCAACTTGAGATGGCCATATTAGTGTAATGGTGCATGACATGGTTGGGTAGATGGCAGAACTGAGTTAGTAGATCTGAATCTCTCTTGGATTTTGTATGATATAAAAGTGAACCAGAAGTCACCTCAGGGTCCATGAGGGATAAGGAAGGAGCTGAGTTGGAATTCAGCAGGCCTGCCGTAGTAAGGAGAGATAGGGTGACCTAGTTGCAGAGGTTTCAGAGTAGACTTTTAAGAGGAGCTTGCTGAAGGCTTTGACTGAGATATAGAGGGCTGTGCTGCTCCAGGAGGAGCCTCGAAGGGGCTGAGCCAGCCAGGGAGAGCCTCTGGGCCCTAACGAAGCCAAGAGATGACATCACAAGTTTTCCAACTATAGACTTCGCCAGAGATCAGGGGGGTTCCAGGGGGTACCATTGCATGAATCCAAGTTCCCTTTTCCCCTGCCACGTAGCGAAGAGACAGAAGGAGGAAGGAGAGGAAGAGGCTGGCAGAGAATTGATCTTTGAATGACTGAATAGTTACCTGAAATGAGACTCTCTTAAGATTAGCAAATTAATTTTTCTCTTCTGCCCAGTGGAAGTGTGGGTTAAAGTAGACTAGATCAGTTTATTTTCTTGGATTTGAGCATTCATATGTAAATGTTTCTCTCTCTCTCTGCACACCTACACACATATGTTATACAAATACATATATGAAATATAAACATATGTATTTATTTAACATTGGGTCTTGATCGAATATCAACTAAAACATAAGATAGTGAGACCAAAATAATTCCAAGGCATCAACAATTTTAATTATTTTATCATCTCCTGATTCTTCTCATGTTCTTATGCTTTGTTTCATCTATTATTATTTGTCCTAGACACTTTCTTAGAAATCTCAGACATATCTTAACTCATCCTTCTACCACACTGCCATATTCAAGCACTTTCAAATCTTATCATTACCATCCTGAGGGGTCACATGCATCTCTCCTCTTCTCTCTGTACTGATTCCTGCTGCTGTTGTTCAGACCTTCATTCTAAACTCTTGGAATAGCCTCCTAACTACTTGCAATGCCTCCCAGCCTTTTGACACCCAACATCTGTTACTTTGCTAAAGAATATACCTGACCATATTACCTGTCTCCTCTAAAATAATTAAATGACTTCCCATTGTTGGAAGAACACATTCAACCTACTCCCGTTCTTCATAACTTGGCTAGAGCCCACATTTCAAGCCTTCCTTCCCACTCTCCACCTCACTCCCGGTCTCCATCATGCAAGAGAACATAGGCTGTGCCATAATATATACGGCTGACTGACTTCGTTTCTAGACTCCGTTGCTAATGATCCCATTTGTTAATTAAGCTTGTATCCTTCACTCTGCCTAACACAATGGCCTGAATCCAGTGTATTTAATAAGTGCATGTAAGAATGCTTTATCGGCAACAAAGTGCTATATAAATAGTAATTATTTTATTATTATTTGTTAAATTGAGTTGGATTTACTTTTAGGATTCCCACTATTGTCTAGGAGAAATGATTTCCCATCAGTGGAAATTCTAGAAAAACCTACATGATGTCTGAAAATACTATAGGCAGATATATCCCTGGAGGAGAAGGCAGGAGGATCCCTTGGTTTTGGAATCTTCTCTTTCCTTCATGAGCATGCCTCAGGGGGCCAGCCTTGTCTAATGCTCCCTATGTGTTTCTCTGTGTTCTCTATTCACCTCATATTAAAAATTACAAACATTACTGGAAATTTCCCCATCAAAGAAGATCAAAGAAGTGTCACTGAAATAAGAAATAGCAGGCTCTGGAGAGCTGGCTCTGGGCACAGGTTCTGCCAGTGCTTGCCTTACATGTGAGGCCAAGCAACTCTGCTGACCCTTGGGCGGTAGGCATGCTATGAATATAACATGCCTGGCATTTCCTGGTACAGGGATTATTTCATCTCTAGGAATTCCACAAATGTTCTCAGAAGCCTTTGGGACATTTAAATTTTAAAAATAAACCTTTATACCTCAACACAAATATCCTAGAAATCCATGTGTCAGCCCTTTTCCTTGAAAACACCTGTAAGTCCTTTCATCACTTGCATGAAACAGGAAAGGGAAAGACCACAAGGCAGATCACATGCTCATAAGTCAGAATGCCCTCAAGAAATAGCCACGCAGAAATTGGCACAACTACGTTAAACACCTGCCAACTTACTCTTTGAAAGCCTTGGAAAGTTTGATTAACCCCGAGAAAGAAAGAGAGAGGAGGAAGGGAAGAAGGAGAGAGAGAGGGGGGAAGGGAAAGAGAAGAAAGAAAAGGAAAGAAAGAAAAAGAAAGAAAGGAAGGAAGGAAAGAGGGAGGGAGAGAGAAAGCAAAGAGGAAGAAAGGGTAGAAAAGAAAAGAAAGAAAAAGAGATAGAGAGAAATGAGCTCCTGGAAGCTCTTACCCATCACTTGGGCAGGTATACGAGGATTTAGTTTTTGAAGCAACAAATCAGCCAAAATCAATGATCTAGGTCAACCTCTGGAGTGTCCCCATGGAGGGAGAAATAGCCCAAAGAGACATGAGTAAGAGGTAAAAGCAAAAAGATTTCCCCAATATGAGATGTTGTGGAACAGTGCCAAATTTCCCCTCTCCTGGTATAATGCAAATGTCAAAATCTATCCTACCTGCTATACTGATGGTGGCTGCAGCCTTTGCAGTACTGAATTTCTCTCCATGCTTATTAGTAGCTATGCACGTATAGAGGCCTGGCTTGGTGATGAATAGCTGTAGTCTTGAATCAATCACTCGGTCTTTCACACTTTCTTGAATGGACCCAGAAGAAACCTGGTGGAGTAGGGGAAAACAGAAGATGAGATTAGGTCAAGGATTTCCTAATATGCTGCATCAGCAGACTTAAAAGGAAGTGGATTAGGATTATGATCAAAAGGCATGTGGTGGATTGCAAAAATAGCCAAAAACTTTTCCCTCCTTAGGCCCATGAACTTGCAATGTGACTTTGTATCTCTTCCCTCAGGAGGTAGCATCTTTCTCCATGCTTTGAGTCTAGATTGGCCTTCTGACGTGTTTTAGAAAGACATACAGACTTGTAAAGTTCTGGCATGTCGTGGCTTGCTTTCTTGTTGCTGTTGGAGCCTGTGAACTTCTGTGAACAAGCCAGAGCTACCCTGTTAGAGGATGAGGCTCATGTGGCCTGGTTATCCCCACTGCCCCAGCTGGGAGCCAACAATAACCACCAGATATCCGAGTAAGGCCATTCTAGATCAACCAGCACGCAGTCCATCTGCGAACTATAGGAGGTTAATCAGCGAAGATCAGGCAATCCTGGCCCAAATCAGCAAAACCACCCAGTTGACCCACAACTTGTGAGCATTAATAAATGGTTACTGTTTTAAGCCATTGAGCTTTGAGGTGGTTGTGATAGAGCAAGAGATAACTAATGCAAGGTACAGAAGATATATTGTGTGGATATTTCAATATGTGATCTCTAAATCTTGAAGATAGAGGCAGTCAGTTTTGAGAGGTTTCAGACTTTTTTTGACTTACTTCCATAAGTCCTGCTCAGTTCCCCACAAATACACATCAGAGAGATGGATAGTTATGAAGAAAAATGGTTTTGAAGCCAATTCTATTTCTGAGGCATGACATACATCATACCATACTACTTAAATCAGAAAATGAAATGTCCTTGAAGAGCCAGAATATCAATGCAATATTAGTACATAGTTGACAGGTTAATCTATGTAAGTGCTAATTTATTAGCCATCATCATTGCAACTCTGTGGGAAAAACAGCTGCCCAGCACATTCTGTTAGGTTGCAGAGTTGGAATTTGTACCCTAGTTTATCTGACCCCAAAGCCTGTGCTTTAATCATTATGTTACAGTGCCTTCCCTAGTCTAGGAGAACAAATAGTTGTTAAAAAACAAGAACAACAATAACCTCAACAAGTCAACCATGAACAATACAGATGTCTGACTTAAATGTATTGTTAAGGATGGTGGCATGTTTTTAAAATAGTGATACTTTCTTCACCATTTTCTTGAGCACTGTGCCACCTTTTCAATCATTATTATTTAATTATCACTGTTTATACGAGGGAAAAATGTCAGTGTGAGGGAAGTTTGAATCGAATGACAGCCAAGGAATCAGCCTCTGGTTTGCCTTGGCTTTATCTTGAAGGAGTGGGAGTGGATTCCATGGTGGCCTTGAAAGAGGTCTCTCTGTCACAGCAGTTGGGAATGAGAAATTTGGAGGCAGTTATTTTACTGTTTTGTACGAGGGAGGATTTTCACAGACTAGTGAGGAGAAGGGAAGCCCTGAGATGAGACTAGCTTTGTTCCTTCTGCTGCCGGGTGGCTGGCTGGTCTTGGAACCAAGCACTCTCTGTAGCAATTAAGCAGTGAAAGTTTGTCCAATTAGCTTCTTTGTCCTTTTATTCTCTCCCTGCACTGCTAGTCTCCATCCTTGTGATATACACTGGTTTATGCCACCATCAATTTACCTTAACTGGGGCAACTTCCCAGGTCAGATCAAGTATTGTGGCATTTCCCCCAGATAAGCAGCCTGGACTCTATGAGAAATTGACAAGGCAGAGAAAAAAAATGTCTTTAAGAGACACACTCAGGAGGGAATTCAAAGAGAATTCATCACTATCATATTTGTCAGTGGTGCAACTTCTTATGGATTTGAGCGTCCAAGTTAGATGGAAAGGACTGAACAATTTGAAATACAATTGTGGACTGTCCCTGAATTTTAATACCAGAAAAAAACCTCACCCCTCTGTGCTCAATCAGTATGCTTTATGCTATAAGGATATTTTATTTATAAATATAATTTTTTTCCACTTTATAGAAATCTGTAGAATAGTTATCTTCTTCCTTAACAAAGTTAGTTCCCTCCTTCAAGAAGTAGGTCTGTACAATGCCTAGGAGACAGCTTATTCCCCAAATGCTGTCTAAACCCCCACTATTTTCATGTTCACACCTAAGAAAGTCATTCCTAAATACCTCTTCAAGGTCACTGAAAACGTTCTTGGTAGGAAAGAGAAGTGAGTTTTGAACTGCCTCATCTCTTTTCTCTTGGACTTCATCCAGGTGTTGAAACAGTTCAGCAAATAGACCGACAAGTTACAAGACTCATTGCTTGATTATGATGTGGCTCCTAAATGCTTTTCCTCCTGTTTCCAGAGGCCTTGCTTGATTCGGGTTGTGACTCATGCACAGCAGGCCTTGTTAGTCATAGTTTGAATTTGTTTTTCTTTCTTCATGGATCGTCCTGACCAACAGTTTAGCATTTTTGATGACCTAAAAATAAAAACAACCCTTTGCCCTCCATTTTGATCTTTTTGCCCCTCAGGTTTAAAAGATCAAAGTGATGAGTACAGATTATTACTGTGAGCATTGACCAAGGTATGCCTAGGCAACACCAAGTACGTAATTGAGGTGACTATAACTGGTATTTACAGTAAATATGTTATTTTCTCCAAGTCACCCAGGCAAACTAACCTGAAGGAGCTGGACAAACAGCTCTCTGCTCTGTACATGATGTTCTCTTTCTGAAATAGTGAGCTCAAAAGGAGGCAGTCAAACAGGAAGTTCTATCAAATAGGCATGATAGTGCATATCTGAGATAACGTGTGTAAAAAGCTTTTTGAAGGTGGCAAAGCATAGATCTGTGGAATATTTTTATATATCATTAACACATTTATAATGCTGTTTTGTGAGAATCTCCCCCCAGTTATGGCTAATCTCGTAACTTCATCATGATTTGAGTTTAGTATAGGAAGCCCTCTGAAAGGTATTCTACCTTCGGTGGCTTTGTCTTGCAAATAGTCCCAGCTGGCTGGGCATACCTGTTAGGGTGTGGCCCTGTAGGGACCATGTTCAGGGGGGTGTAATAATGTCTGTCTGTGCATCATAGAAAAAGAGATAGTAGGCTAAGAAAAATTTCCATACTGTTTCTGATCAACATAACCATAAATATTGACCTCTTTCCATCTGGGCTGCTGAAATATTCCACATAATATATCCCACTTGATATATGTAATTATTTTAGTTTACACAGCTAGTAAGTTAAGATGACTCCAAAGCTCATTGTACTTTGAATCAAAAATACTGCCTCTTACAAATATGTGTAAAGTATAGGTGAGTCTTCCTTTAAGAAAATTAAAAAACACAGTTTTCAGCATAGATGACTTGGCTATTTATTTTATAAAATCCTTCTAACAAATTAAAATGATTCAACTTTAAAAATATTTTGGGAACTATATTTACTGGACAAAGCAAGAAAGACCTGCAATTTTTCTACATTTTTTGTCTGAATGCCAAAATAATAGAGATATTATCAATGTAACTTTAAATAAATCTGTTTATCAAAATACAAGGATATTTTCTGTGAGAAAAATCAGCTCTGCTCTATCCACACAAAACTACGATTTCCAATCTTGTAAAATAAAAGGAATATTACTACTCACTCAGAAGTTCATCTAAGACTACAAATTTTCATGAACAATGAATGATGTTTCTGTAGGAAGAAAGCTAAATAATTCTTGACCACTTTGGGGCATGTTGCTTGCCTTCCTACCATTCTTTGGCTCTCACTGTTCAGGGCTTTAGTTTATTGGCGTGTTCACAGATGAGGAGACAAGAGCCTTTATGCATTTTGGAGTACTCCTTATACTTAGTGGTGTGTTAGTGAAGTTACTTCCCTGACTTGTAGTAAGTGAGGAGCCACAGTTGAAACTCTCTCTTATTTTGTGCCAAACAGCTCCCAACTCTGTGTTCATCTTTGTTCAGTCACCCAAAATGAGAGCAGGGCTGTGGGCTCTTCCCTGTTCTCCTCAACAGATTTTTCTGGTTTGCTACTTGTACAACGTTAAATGCCTGAGATTGCCTCCATTTCCTGTGATTTGCGTCAGCACAGGCAAAGTCATCTCAATTTTGATTTGGGCTTGTGTAGCAACACCAAGGACGAAACTTGGCCGTAAGACCAACTCTCTCTCCGACCATGAGAACACAGTCAGATGTACTTCCGTTTTCTTCCTGGAAGAAAGTCACTATTCATTTGTTTTATTTCCATTTTAGAATGTGAGGCGATGGATCTATTTTGCCTTCTGCTTCTTGTGAATCACATCTTGAATGATTAAGTTGGGGTCTCAGTAAGACCAAAACTAACTCAAACCATCTGGCTTTTTTATGACTCCTCAATCCCAACAGAGAATAGTCATATATCCTCCAGATCTAAACTCACTGAATTTTTCAAAAGCATATGTCTTTCCATTTTCTTCATTACGGTTTTCACAGAGTAAGACAGATTAGTAAAGTCATCAGTCCTCCAGTTTTCTTAGGGCATATCTTTAGACTACCTGGAGGAGCTTAAGACAACTACAACAGCTTCCACGCAAGAGCCACAAAACATAATGCCAAATAAGATTAGAACTTTAAATGACACTTGAAATTTAATTAGAAAGCTAAAGAACAGAGACTACAAGTTACTTTACTTTAACTTAACGAAATTAGAGAGCTTTAGCCCTGATGTCATATTAGAGATTATCTTCTCCAGCCACCTGACATCTCTGTCATTATAGATATGGGAAAATCAATGTCTGAGAGGTAAATGGACTCCCCTAAAATTACATTAGCTGAAAAGGAGCATTACAACTTAATTCTTCCAACTCCCCATATAAATCTCATTCTACTATGGTAGAATGAGTTACAAGCCTATAAAGTGACATTAATTTGTTCACTTGCTATGTTTTGAAGAGGTGGATGGTAGGCAATTAGATAAGGTAAACTGATTTTAATAACAAATTATGAGAATGGTTTTGTCCAGGTATCGGAAAAGAAAAAAGAAGCTCTTCCGTAAACACAATAGTGAAAACAAAATAATAAATGAATTGTAAGGCTTACAGGGTGATGTTTAAGATGATGCTCTTTATTAGTTGGGGTAGCCTTAGAATTTGGCGTCTTTTTCATGGTTTACAACATCCACCAAAATTTAACACACTGACACACTTTGTCATTCACACACTTCTCTTCCCTGCCCTCTTTCTTTTCCCATATCTAGTATCCTAGTTCTCATCTTTCCCTTTATCTTCTTTTTCTCCTCATTTGGAACATTCCTTTGATTTTAAAATGCTACTGTTAATATATTGTAATATGATAATATATAGACACTGCAGCAAAGGTAACAAAAAGTTAGAAAGGCACTCTCCTGGAGGACTTGGGAAATGAAAACAGCTGAGAACTCCTTAGATGACTTATCAAGGTTTGACTTTTTAGCTGTACTGAGAGCTATCCACACTCCACCCAAAGGACTAGTTTGAACATGCACCCCATCTCCTTAAGGCATGAGTGTCCTCAATAAGATCACCTGGAGAGTCGATGTATGTTCTCTGCTGTGTGGTAAAATGTTCACTCAGCTGGCTGGAAGCACTCAAACCCTTCACGTGTGAAAAAGAAGACTGGCCTTTGACTTGCTCCTGAGATAAACTTTCATCCCTTGGAATATCCTGCCTGATAAGAGTGTCTTTGTATACCTGAGACTTTGGGCCATGCCAGATAGTTTACATTAACAATGAATATGTAATATCTCTTTTTTTCACCAGGGACCCTGACCATGCTGCATAGTTTGACCTTTGGAAGGGCTGGGGACTGGCTAAGGTCAGTCATATGAGCTCTCCATGCTTACATAACTGACACTGAGTAAAAACTCTGGACACCAAGGCCTGGGTGAGCTTCCTTGGTACAATACTTTATATGATTGTCACACATTGTTGCTGGGAGAATTAAGTGCTCTCCATACAACGCCACTCAGAGAGGACAGCTGATTACTCTACTGATTTTAATCTGTATTCTTTCACTATAATAAACTATAACCATAGTTTCTGAGTTCTGTGAGTCCTAGTGAATCATCAAACCTGAGGGTGGTCTTGGGGACCCTGACTCACCTGCAATTTGTTGGCACAGCAGACGAGTATCTAATTCCCAACTGTAAAATCTGAAGAAGAGAGTCAGGCTGCCTGGTGGCTCCAATGGAAGGAGCCAAAGTGTGTAGGGGGTAGCTCTGTACAATGGTTTGGATCCAAGAGTTGGTGAATACAAAGGTTTTATAGAAGATCTGAGTTAGAGTCATTTTTAATCCTCCCCAAAAGACCTTCAGATAGACACCAGAGAGACTTTCCATCAACTAACAAATTGGGGACTAACAGGGGGTGGCTATCCTGAGGAAAATGTGTCACGGGGGTCATTTTGAATATTCTCTGTTTTCTAAAGAATTGTGAGTGTGTCCATGATGGAAAGAGTCAGTTTTAAATACTTGTCAAGGTACCAGAGTGTTAAGCCAACTTAAAAAGAATATCAGTTAAATCAGAACTTTTCCACTCCAATTACTGCTCCTCCCTTCTTCCCACCCCAAACCTGTGGGAGTCATAAATAGAAGTTTGGAAGTGGGGGAAGAATGAATGAGTATGAGCTAAAAAGCCAACCAAAGAACTTTTGTTGAAGGCAGGCCACACTCCTGCAACAGTCCGGACACAGGAAGAAAGGTAAAGGTTCTCATCTGTGAACATAGTCAGTGGCTCTGGTGATTATTTAGGGATAGACACTTAAAGTGACTAAATTGGAATGATGTTGGTGATTTAAAATCACTGAAAAGTGACCAGAAAAACAGCCGAGTCTGCTTGAGGCAGATCTCAATGGTGGGAAAAGAACTCGCTCTGCTGAATAAACATAAAAGAACAGAGTAAGCGTTAAATAAAGTTGTATTACAGGCAAGTCATGCCTGTTCAACACCTGAATTACAATAATAATCTTAGCCCATATGTTTAACTCTCTTTTTTCTACCTGAAATCCTGAAGGATAAATAAAATCTAAAAATAGGAAAAATAAATCCATAGAAAGATGGAAGAGTATCATCAACAAAGGGTCAGAAATTTTCAGCCACTTCTGGAAGATACAAAGCTATGTGACTGGATTGGCAGAAAAATTGATATCAACAAAGTGGCTGAAAACTGAAAGTTTACTGAGAGGAGAATGGATAAATTTTCCCTATAAAGTCATGGAAAATTCCAAAGTTCAGATAGCAAAGCTGTAAGACTTTGAAAGAATCAGTAAAGTAGTTGAAGAACTTTGTAAACTATTATGTATGCATAGCACTAGGCTGAGGCATCTGACCATGGGCCAGAGCTTGTGAATGAGATTTTCTTTAGTGGGTTCTTGTGGTGGCCATTCACAGTAGGCATTAGAGCCTGAGAGAAAGTTGCCAGAAGTAGGACTCCCCCTTGTCCATCCACAAAAATATTCAGAGAATAAAGATTAGAAAGATTGTAGCTTTAAAAGAAATTAATTTAGTAGAAATCTAAGCGGAAACAATGTAGAAGAGAGAGAAGCAATAATTCAAGATAACAATAGAAGAAACATCCATGAGTTTAGGAGAGATTTGCATTTCTGTATCAAAGGAAAATATTTAAACTTGCCAATTGACTCTCTAGGGTTGGCGTAATATTGTTAACAAAACCTGATCATAGTAGTCCACTAAAAATAGACCATTCCTCTTTTTTAAAAATAGGTGCAACAATCCTAAATAAAATTACAGCAAATGGAAACAACACAATTAAACACAAATAACCGTGTATTCAAATAATGAAAGAATGGTTCAACACAAGGGAAACTTTGTAATTTAAAGTGAAAAATTTCATGTTCATCAAAAAGTTGAAATAACTGATGACAGGCATTTATCAACTTTAAAATATATTTATATTAAAAACACTTAAGATTAAAAATAAATATTCTTAACCTCATAAGGAATATCAGAAACTAGAAACTGAGTGCAAATCAAACATAAACAAGTGGTTAAAGTCTATAAAATATAATTATGATAATAATCTATGATAGATTCCTCTTTCAGATATTGGTAAACTAGGTGATTCAGACCAACTCTCACAATGAAAAAAAATTCTGGAAAAATATTTTTAACAGCTATAGCAGACTAAGAAGCTTTTATTTCCCTTAAGATAATTTGCCAACCCCAGAAAATTTTAACTTTCCTTGGCCTTGAGCAGTGACGAGACAGAAGTCAAAGCTCAGGTTCTGCAAAATGAGGAGTTTGATAGGAGATACAATAAACTAACTAGATATCAGGGAGATATCAGTGTGAACTACAAGAGAAATAACCCACATAAAGAATTGCAGACTGTGTTATAATCATCTGGGATGTCCAAGGAGCTTCGAACCTTCAACCTACTTTCAGGTGGTCCAAGATTAGTAGTAGCCCCTGGTCCCTGGCAGAAACAAACAAAAGTTGTCTCTGAAGAAGAGTACCTTCATCTAGACCTCAAGTTAATCCCTGAGATTTTTTTTTTTCAAAACAATGAACAGAAGGTAATCAAAGATAACTAGACACACAGGAAACAAAACACAAGGAATGAGAGTCAGCGGGAAAGTAGACAATAGAAACAGACCTACGATGGCATCTCATCGCACTCGAATAAAAGCCAAAGTTGTTTCATTGACCTACGTTAGCCAATATGATCCACAACCCCTATACACACCCCTCACCTCTTTCTTTTTGCTCTCTCACCTCTAGTCACACTGACCTACTTGCTCTTCTCCTGACGTAGCATGTGCACCCTTATCTCAGAGACTTTGCCCAGTTATCTTCCCCTGGTTATCTACACAGCCTCCTCCTTCAGCTTCTTCAGAGCTTTGCTCAGATGTCTTCTTCTTAATGAGGTTTCCCTGACCACTCTATTGAAAATGGAATCTTTCTCCTGAGGTTGTACTTTTGGTCTCATTTTCCTGCTTTATTTTTATCCATCATACCTGACACTATCTGCCTTGAATATATATTCTCCTATTTGTTTTATTTTGCTTGTCTTTTCCCATCATAATGTAAGCTCTTTGAGGCCAGGGCACTTTACCTGTTTTGTTTGCTCCTGTATCCACAATACCTAGAGTAGTGCCTGATGCCCAGAGATACTCAATACATATTTATAAAATGAATAAGTGAACACTTCCATGTAAAGTGGTTAGAACAGGGCCTGGCTGATAGTAATCATTAATGTATATTACTTATTATTACCAGTATTAAAAATGAAGAAAAGCATGTTGAACTGACAGACATGGGTTCTAATTCTGGATTACTTTTGATCAAAGTAGACTCCAGCAGTGAACTAATTCTTAAACTGATGAGTTTTATGAAAATTATTTTATTTGTGTGAGAAGGAATTGTTACCACTTCCCTTTTACACAAAGACATAAAGAAAGAATTTGATTTTCTACTGTTCTCCATGATACAAGAAAAGAAGTAAACCCATGGAGTTCAATTTCTATGGCAGTGACCCCTGGGATGAAGATATTGGGAAACTTTGAAAACTGGAAGTGCAGTTGGGACCAATGACAGAGATCAAGGTATCTCTACAAATATGTGGTCTATCCTGATAGTCACCACCAGTGGCTCTTCCCCAGACAAGTCCCCATACAGATGACACTCACGGCATTTCCGTTTTCAATCCAGGTGATGGTGGGGACAGGGATGCCTGTTGCTGTACAGCGCAGGGTCACAAAGGAGCCGAAGGTGACATTGTGGGATTCAGGAGCCCGCAGGATTCTGGCAAAAACTGTTGGGAAACCAGAAGTGGTGAGTGACTTTCCTGTAGGGGATGATCAGGCTGGAGTGGTCTTCAAAAATGCAAATCAGATCATGTTCTTCTGTGTAAGATCCTCTGTGCTCCCTCTGTCTTAAGGAGAATATCAAATGCCATGCCCTGGCTTCTAAGCCATTTATACTACCACCTATGTTTCTCACCACTCCAGGATATGCCACTCTTGTTCCCAACTCAGGAGCTTGCCTGTGCTTTCCCTTGGCCTAGAGCACTCATCCCTCAGATCTTCATGTGGCAGTTTCCTTATGTCATCCAAGTCTCTGTCTAAGTGATATTTTCTCAGAAAGGCCCTCCTTGACCATCCACCATGAAGTCTAATCCTCCCCCCATTCACTTTTTTATCATCCTCTTTTATTGTCTTTACATACTTTACTGCTTTCTGAAATTATGTATTTTTATTTGTCTGTTGTCTTTCTCCCCCCAGTAGATTGTGAGTTCTCAGCAACCAAAAACCTTGCCTGTTTTGTTCAGTACCTAGAAGAATACCTGACCAAAGTAATAGTATTTAATTAAATGAAGGAAATAATTAATGCTGTACACCTTTGACTGTCATAATGGGAGGACAGACAAAATCTGTCACACTTTTCAGAGAATGAGATGAGCATATTGGGTGAAAAAGAAAAGAAATAGTTTACGGGGCCAGCCCCGTGGCTGAGTGGTTAAGTTCGTGTGCTCCACTTGGCAGCCCAGGGTTTCACTGATTTGGATCCTGGGTGCAGACATGGCACCACTCATCAGGCCATGCTGAGGTGTCGTCCCACATAGCAGAACCAGAGGCACTCACAACTGGAATCTACAACTATGTACTGGGGGGCTTTGGGGAGAAGAAGAAGGGAAAAAAAAGGAAAAGGAATAGTTTAAGCAAAATGTGGGCAGGAGAATGAGTATTTTCTATTCCTTTCTGAGGCTGAATCCCCACTAATTAGATAACAGGAAGCTCTTTTGAAGTGAGAAGAAATTTTAAAGAATGGGGTTGAGGCTCAGACTGTACAATAAATTGAAGGATACTTAGAATTGCAGAATCACTAACCTTGGAATAGACTTCAGAGATCAACTCGATTCCCGCTCTTATTTTATAGATGTAGAAACCAAATCCCAGTTAAAATAACTTGCTTTCCCAAGGTAATAAAACCTATGGGTAAGAAACCTGAACTCAAGTCTCTGACTTCAAATCCAGTTCTTTAAAACCATAATAGAAGCTTTTCAATCACCCATTATACTGTAAATATAATAGTTTATGCTCTTTCCTTTTGTTTTCGAGGACTTAAGCACAGAACATAATATTAAACTATGAAACCCCAATTAACGTAATGCTCTGAGGCTTTGTTCTAGTTAATTGAATTTTGTGAAGTTGGGATTCTGAAGGAGAGGAGAGGGCAGAGAGTATACACTAGACAGGAGATGTACAGGACATTAATAGATCAAGTTCAGAGCTGGGTTAGAAGTTGGCCTGATTGTTGAACACCTCTTAGAAAGGACCAGATAATTCAAGGAGATAAAGGGAGATATGACTTGTTTGACACTGGGGTGCTTTTTGCAGATTCTAATTTCAGATTTGCAGATTCAGATTAATTCAACTTTCTATCTTTTGATATTGAGGACTTTAATTGATGGAATTTAGAAGACCATGCTAGAAATACAAATGTTGACCCCAAAGGCCAGGAGAAAGGAAAAGCAAAGAAGGCACCATCTTCAAGGCAACAAGTGGTTAAAAAAAAAAGTGAGGCCAGCCTGGGGGCATAGTGGTTACGTTTGCACCCTCCACTTCGGCAGCCTGAGGTCTGCAGGTTCAGATCCTGGACGCAGACCAATACACTGCTCATCAAGCCGTGCTATAGCGGCATCCCCCACACAAAAAATAGAGGAAGACTGGCACAGATGTTAGCTCAGCAACAGTCTTCCTCAAGCAAAAAGAGGAAGATTGGCAACAGATGAGCTCAGGGCTAATCTTCCTCACCAGAAAGAAAAAGAAAAAGAAAAAGGATCAGATGTTTCAAATGCAGCTGATTCTTCCCCTAAAAGACAAAATTGAGCCTGATTTTAAGTAAATCCTGGGGTCTAACTACCAATCTATAAAAAATAAGGGGTTAGAACATGTTACCACTATGGGGATGCAATTCAATCAAATCCAGAATATAGACAACTTAACAGAACAAATTATTTGGTTTTCTTCAACAAATAAATGGCATCGGGGAAAAAAAGAAAAGGGGAGATATTATAGACTGAAAAAGACTTAAGAGACATAGTCGCAAGTGCAATGTGTAGATCATGTTTGGTTTCTTATTCAATATGTCAGATGTAAAAATATATATTTGAGACAATTGGATAAAAATTGCAGTATCCTGATAGTAGTGAATGGCATTAAGAATATAGTAAATGGCATAATTGGGGGTTGGTGGGGTGATGAAAATGATAATGTGATTATGTTTAAAAAAAGTCCTTATACTAAAGTACATATGGATTGATTGAACTGATGTCTGGGATTTGCTTTAAAATAAAAGAGCAGCAATAAAATGGTAACGGAATAAATGAAGCAAAATGGCAGACTGTTGATCATTGTTGCTGTTGGGTAACAGGAACATGGAAATTTACTATATTATTGTACCTACCTTTTTTGTAAGATTGGAAATTTTATAATAACATTAAAATAGAAAAAGAAAATTATAGTGGAGCCTATCCCCCAGCTCCAGAAAAACATGTAATGGGACGCATACTTCTTCTGCCATTGAAATAGCATAAGTTACTAGAAAACCTGAAACCTGAAGGAAGGTAAGGTTCTGAGGAGAAACATCTGGCAGAGGTATCAGCCCTAAGAGTTTCAGAAATTTCCACAACCGTTTTAGATCAGAACTCTGTGGGGGATGATTCCAAGTCGAAACAAAATGTGGGACTCAGGGAAAATTTTCCCTAGCAGGCAATATTTACAGCCTAAAAAATTCCATAGCAAGAGGAGGGACTGTCACCCTTGTGGTCAGCAGGGTCAGCTCCAAGAGCGAGTGACCTGTGTAGTCACACAGGGCCCCATGCTTGGTTTAATTTCCTGCTGTACATGTCTTGAAATTATTAGTGATTTTTGAACTAGGGGCCCTGGATTGTCATTTGTATCTGGCCCACAAATTATGGAGACAGTCCTGGTGGTTAAAGCTAAAAATGCCTGCTTAAAAGACGTGAGGAAGGCTGCACCTCTACTGCAGTTCCAGAAAAACAAGACTCAAAGGTGAAATGGAAAATAAACAGATGCAAATATGCTGTATGGATCCAAAGGAAATGTCAGTCAAGACTAGGTGACAGAGATTGTCCCCATTGGAAATTCTAAATTTCTCAAGAAGACAAACCAGCTAGGAGGCAGTGTACATTTGACAAAAACAGTGCCCCATCTGACACCTGATAAGAGATTTCTCCCAACTTAATCTAAGTTCACAGCTTGTGGACCCTTGACAACTGACACAGACTGACTGGCATCCTAGCGACGGTGCACCCAGGTATTCTCCTCTTTTCTAACGTTTTCTGTCAACAATAATGGAGACCTAGATTGCACAACATATTTGAATCCGTGTTCATCGTTTGGCTGAAACAATTCTTGTTGAGGTTGGAGCTACACTGTTGTATCCTAAATTTTTTGAATGTGAGACTACTGTAGTGGTCATCTTGTGGGTTCCAGTGCCTCCAAGAATCTGAAAAAAGCAGGATCCTTGAGAGATTGGGAGTGGGATTATTTCAATCCTATGAGTGCTGGACAAGTGTAGACAGCAGGTGCTGAAGATAACACTGACTACGTCCTTGAACCTGAATGAGGGCCTTCTGGCTGAAGACGAGAAGAATAAGAAATTGGAGAAGAATGAAATCTAGGGGTTTTTTCTGCCTTGATTTGTTACGGCAAGAGTTTTCAGTTAGGGACTTTAAATTCTTCCTGGAAATTTAGTAATAAATTTCCAATTCTAATTTATAGCTTTTTATTTTCTTTTGACTGATATATTACATTATTTGGAATATCACTTGGGCTCGTTGCAAAACCTCTGTTGATTTCTATTGCACAATACAGTTAAGCATAATGTGAGATGGTAAATGAAATAGAGTCAATTATCATTCTAGAATTCAACGTGGCTCAGAGTGAATTTAATTAATATACTGCCTTGTCCCATATCAGAACCTTCCGGAAGGTCCAGCGGGGCACAGAAGGGTCTTAAAGGAGCATAATTGACATTGCTTCATGGCGGCTTCTTGAACGTGAGACTGTGCTGACAGACTGCCGTCTCCTCCTCCGAGAGGACACACATACCCTTAGCTGACCACAGGTTTCATTGTCAAGTCTAGTGAGTTAAGAGAAAAAAAGGCCAAGAATTAAAGGGAAGCTGGGTTCTCCTGCACTTCCACATTCTTGCCAAAAGATAAAATAGAAACTTGCCCCCTTTTTCGGTATGAAAAGATAGCTTCCACCCTCCCTGCCTGACTCCCTCCCTCAAAGAAGCTTGCAAAAGTATTTTGGGTTTCGACTCCAGTGTCTCCTTCTCTTGATGCTTTCTCGACCCATCCCTCTTACCCTTATTTATGTTTCTTCATTGCACTTAATCACCATCTCATAACTATTGATTTGTTTTTAGCCGTCTCTCTCCCTGGAATGCAAGCATCACAAGGGCAGAGCTTGCTTTCTTCATTAACCCAGGCTGATTGATAGATAGATTGACAGACAAATGATAGATTGATCGAGAGAAAAATAGATCCAGAATACTGCATGGTACATGGTAGGAACTCAACAAATATTTGCTGAAGGAATAAATGAATTAATGAGTAACTCCTCTTATTGGTGAGACTGGAGAAAGAGATTTGTATATGTTATGAGTATCTAAGCCCTTTCTGAGCCATCATTCTCCCAGCTACCCTGCAAACAAGATGAGTATGGGACTGATGTGCAGTAGGTAAGACCCCAGGTCAGGGCTTCTCCATCCTACAACTCAGGTTGAAGGTGGAAGAGTGGGGAGGGGCTGAGGAGGATGAGGAAACAGATGTGATGTTAGTCTAATTCTTTGATGAAGGAATAGAAAGCTTTGTTTTTCCATCCAGCATTATCAGCAATAAAGCTAATATTTTTATACCTATCTGTATTTGTTACCAGTTCCAAACATGAAAGGTGAAGGGGTGGTGAAAAAAATTCCACCATATTTACCAAACATTGAAAACAATAAAGCCAGTTGCAATTAAAAATAAATGCCAGCTTAGCCTCCATGGATAAAAACACACCTGTAATAATAAACTTGGACATAGTCCAAGAATTGTTGTTGTTAGTGCCGTAGAGTCGATTCTGACTCCTAGTGACTCCACAGACAGCAGAGCGGAGCCCTGCCTGGTCTTTTTGCACCATCCTCTCACCTCCCGGCACTGTATCAGACAGTGCTGTGCTGCTATTCAAAGGGTTTTCATGGCCAATTTTTTCAGAAGTGAGTGGCCAGGTCCTTCTTCCTAGTCTGTCTAGTCTGGAAGCTCTGCTGAGACCTGTCCACCATGGGTGACCCTGCTGGTATTCAAAATACCGGTGGCACAGCTTTCAGCATCACAGCAACACACAGCCACCACAGTATGACAACCAGCAGCTGGGTGGCGGGTGGTGTGGTTCCCTGACTGGGATACGAGCTCAGATCACAGCAGTGAGAGGGTGGAATCTTAACCACTAGACCACCAGCCTAATAATAAACTTCCATTATTTTAGTGGCAGCCACAAACTGAAAATACATTCTAGGTGATCAATTTAAAAAGTAATGTGATACGTTTCATATCAAATAAAATGTGCATTTTGAATATCCCTATTTTGTATATTATGTGCATAAAAGAAAGTATAAAAGTGGGGTTTTTTTAACAAAAACAAGTGGCTTAATTGAAGGGATATGAAACTACCCAGTAATTTGGAAAATGTTTACAACTGTTTTGATTTGGATTTTTAATGAAAAAATTGTCCAAGTCCTCTTTCTGCATATAGTCTCATCCATCATTCTGCAATTCACTGTGAGCGCTTTTCCACTCACTTTCCTGTGGGCAGGCAAGTTCTTGTTCATCTGCACCATGGAAAATAGACACAGGCAATCTATTTATCCCTGGTTTTTCTCTCACAAGATCTATTCATGAGTTTTGGGCTTTAATTTCTCTTGGGCAACTTTATAGTGCTAACTGCAGGTTAAGAATCGTATATTCAAAATAGGGCTTACGCAGCCAGTGATTCCAAAGTCCTTTATGACATAACCATATTATATTCTCATTCTCTCTCTCTCTCTTTCTCTGTCTCTCCCTCTCTCCCTCTCTCCTCTTTCTCTCCCCATTTTCCAAAGCACTTTCAGATACATAATCAGTTTTAGTATTGATTGTCATTTTAAGGGGTAATTTGAATTTGTAATAAGGAGATAGAGCCATTATTCACTCTGAAATTGCACTGGTGGTGTAATGGAAAATACAACAGGCAGGGGGCCCAAATTAAGTCCTGAAATTAATGAGTAGTTTGGCTTGAGATGAATTAGCTCTCTTTTTTTGGTAAGAGAGTAGGACCAGAGGAATATAGTACTTAAGTCCCTTATAAATTCTGTTTCTGAGCAATTATTTCAGAGGACACAATGTGCTCACATGGATTTTATTTTCTTTTGTTCTTTTCTTTCTTTATTATTTTCTAGCTTCCCCTAAAGAGGTTTTTTAGGTTACTTGATTCAAACCAGCAATAACTGATAGGAGTAAATTGAAAACAAACAAAAACTAAAAAAAAAGAAAACCACACAGGAGCAGGTGAAATGATTTTATCTAAATTTAGTTATAAGCAGCCTGATATTTAGAAATAAGAAAACATCTCAGATGCCTTATTTGAGATACTATGAGGAAGTGCTGTTTCAAATAATTACCAGCCTAAGGTTTGTTCCTAGAGTCAGGCTGTATTGTATGAGAACCTGTGAATTTCACCCCCAAATATCAAAGTTTAGCTTAGAACAGCACAAAGTTTGAGTCTTAATCAGGATGAAAGTTGCTTTCTTTGAAGGAAAATTCTTGTCCCACAGTGGAGTTTCTCCCAAACAAATTTGATTTCCAGCCACTTTCCTTTAAACATTTCCACTAAATATATATGTCTGTGTGCAATTAAATTTAACTTAATTTTGATTCATTTGGTTTGGTTTGGAGCAATTGCATAATACTTCTTGTCCTCTTGAAGTAATAACAATAAAAACCTAAGCTGGTCCTGTGACTTTTTTGCATTTCTCCAAAAATTGTACCTCCTCCTACCCCCAGAAAAAAGCTTTCGGTCAGAGGGTAACTTTCTATTCCAATCTGTATGAGATTTATATTCTCATACTGAATTATGTCATTTCATTTTGTTTGCATTTTCAGAGTTTAGAATAGCAAGGCTAAACAATTCTGTTGACTCAGTCTTTTCTTAATAAAAGCAAATGGTCAATAAGTTTATAAAATATACTTTTTATATAATAAAGCAGCCCATCTAATAACTGTTAAATGCTGTGACTTAATATTCCCCACACGTCCTTTTTTATTTCTTAACAAAATAATGGCACTTAGTCATTTATAAGGTTAACAAAAATAAGCAATTGAATAGACCCACACATTTAAAAGGAAGCAGTGCAGAAAGAAAAAGAAATACCTTTAGTATCTTGCTCAAGTTCACTTTCTTCTATTAATAGAAACAAGACAAAACAAACATAATAAACACACAAACAAGAACAACATGTCATGAGAAGGGAACTCTTCGACCACAGAAACACCAGTTGTGCAACAAGATTAATTAGAATCTGTTTGTTTCTCATTTCAATAAGAAACAAATGCAGTCAAGGGAAACTGCTGACCTTTTAAAAGCAAACTATTAAACGACATAAAATTTCAAGGTCTTACTTTTAGTCAGACAGTACTACACAGAAAATAAACTGCATCATACCCAACAACATAGCTCATTCATGCATTTTTATTTTAATGTTGACAATCGTCCTTTCTTTCGAGGCAACAGACTGCCTACTATTCTGATAAATTCTATTTCCCTTTGTTAGTTTGGCTTCTCCTCTTAGGAGGCCTTGCTGTGAAGTCAGTGATGTTGAATCTGGGATCTCAGCTATCATTTCTATGGCAATAGACTCATGTTGTGGTAAACAGAGGATTAGGGGGTTTCTGTAGAACAGAGCCTACCACCAACAGAGATTCTTTTCTCTGTATCAACTCCTAGAGGCTGCTCAGAGAGCAGAGAGGAGCAAATCATTATCTTCTACAAAACTACTAGGAAAGCAAACTACAGAGAAAAATGTGAAAATGTCTAAATTAGGTATACAGAATTGGGAATCTACAAATTTTAAAACATCTTAGAAAAGAGACAACACTAAGTCAACTGTTCCGTAATGTTTAACGTAACCATAGCAGGTGTAGATCCCACATGGAGCTCTATTTTTCTTTCCCGAAGTTTTACTTGTTTATGTCAATTTAGACCTTTCTTTGAATTAGTGATGAGTAACTGCAATATTTGTTTATAGCATAAAATAGCAAGACTCTTGTTAACTACTTTTAACGATAAGGATACATTTTCATAGTTTTTCACAGATTATGCATATTTTCATACATATTGTACATTCTCTCTTTTACCCCTCACTGTATGCCTATGATTGTATATAATTGATTTTATTCAGCCCATTTTCCAGGCAAGGAATCTGAGACTCAGAGATTTGCAGCAGGTGCAGGGCCGGAAATACCACTCCAGTTTTCAGACATCATCTTCTATTCTAGTACCATGGTGAGAAAGCCTCATTTTTACATTTAGCACCCAATCCTCTTAAATTTCAGTGAACTTATCATTTCCAATGTAGACTTTACTCTGTCTGAATTTTCCCTACCTCTACTAACCAAGTCAGCGGTACATGCTCTTTAAAAATATTTTTTAAGTATCAAAGTCAAAGACTACTTAAAACTTCTAAATTGAATACATTTGAGGTTAAAGGAGATGTAGAGATTGTCTGTCAAATGTGCCTCTAAACGAAGAAATCGTCCTTTACAACATCTCTAATGTGCCTGACAAAGCATAGGTATTGGATAAATAGGAGCTGTTTTCATTGAAACAGGTCGCACTTGAAACTCCAGAGATTCTCTGTAACACAGATGTTAATCAGAAGAAACAAATAAATGAAGGTCCATAGTTGGGCCAGATTAGGACTGAAAAATTGCATTTGGATGCCTTTGGGCTGGGCATATCTTTCTAGTTCCTCAGCACAATTATGCTTGGGGAAAAAACATCCGATTTATTTTTCCTCAGGCATATATTCATTTATGAGTGGCTGTGATGAGCTTGGGACTCTTAGGGGGATGTGAAGTGTCTTTATTCCCGGGCTGCTGTATCTCCCAAATCTTATTCCACTACAGTTGAAGGGCCTCAGTAAGTTCTGAGAGTCTTACTCATTCATCATTTTCTTCTCTCACACTACTCTTTTTAGGGTTCTGGGGTAAGTGCAGGTAAATTCTGAGTCTCCTTTCAATTTTGCTCGAGTGATCTTTCACTGGACTGTACCTCAAATTATACTCAGAGGACAATGCTCATTTTCCTTTGCTGTTTTTCACTTCACTGTTATTGTTGTTACTATTGTTTGTTGTGCTTGATTTGTTTAGAATTGGAAGCGGTGTGAAGATTTGAAAGAATGCACCCATTTCTTCCACTGCAGATATCTAGAATCAACTCAAGAGATGAAAGAATGTCTAAAATTTGCCATTTTCCTAGGAGGGGGCTTAGAAGTTATACCAGAAATTACATTTTCATATATAGACTATCAAAATCTCGTTCTATGAACAAATACATATATACATTTTTGTACATACATCTGTATATATGCTTGTGTGTTAAGATACACACACATGTACACACAGTCACACACATGCACACACAATTAAGGTTGCTTTAAATTAGAGAAAATTGTGCAAGAATAATCTGCAAAACCTATTTAAGCTTGAATACACTCATTCAGTATATGAGACTGTTCATCATTTCACGGTCAAACTGTAGTCCTAGTTGTTTGTGTATCCTGCTTGCCTAGCCTACTGTGATCCCTCTTGACTTCTGAAATTATTGTTTAAACACTTATCAATTTTTAAATATTCTGCTTCATGGTCTCTATTCCTATTTATTTGCTAAATTCTCATTTAACTCCTTTATGCGAAATGCATCAGTCTTATCTTCCAAATTGATTCGTAATCTTCTTTGAGGGGCAGGAGAGGGAACAGAATAGCATACTTGGCTTTTGTTGTGTTTTACTCCCTAAAGTCCAGCACAGTCTCTTGTAGAATAAAGAAAATACTTAAAAAAAAAAGAGTTGGATTAGTGACACATTTTCCTTGCTCAGTAGGACATTTAGAATAGGGAATCAGAGACATCTCTTATTGGAATAATCTGAGATATAAACAACATCCAAGTTAAATAGTATATCCATCATTTTCTTGAATACTTTGATTTATGGGGAACTCAGCATTATCATAGCAACCCATTTTTTAAAACTCTGTTAAAAAAAAAAGTTCTAAATCAAACAAAATCAGTGTCCTTATAATTACCACCCACAAGACCTAGTCCTCACTTATGGACAAAAATGAAAAAAAATCCATCAAATATTCTCATTTTTCCAACGTTGCTAGCCCCAGTTCACCATCCTGATTGCTCTCTTTTGAACTTATTTACCGTCTTATCTTAACTTACCCTTTTACCTTGTGGTACCTGGAACTGGAACTAACATACACATAGAGTCTAACAAATTCAAAGAATATGAAGACTCTTTCTAAATAATCTACTTCTATGAATATCAGTTTGCATAAGTTTTTATTTACAGTCATTTAATAAAACAGTTAGGTTATTGATTCCATTGAAAGTCGTGAATATCCAACATATTTTTATTCTTGCTCTTATTAAAATCTGTCTCCCCAATTTTGAATGTGAATGTGTATATATGTGAATATGGTTTGTTTCTAAGAAAGATCAAATAAATCTTTCCTACTCAATTTGCTGTATTAGTTGATTGGAGAAGGAATTTGGAGGGGAAATGTATTGTTTTATAGAAAGAGGGAAAGCCATCAAAGTCCCCTGGTAAACAAAAGGAATACATTTAGTAAAATCATAAAGGTCATGTAGACCTTGTGGAGAGAAAAAAACAAAACCAGAAGAGAGAACAGGCTCTGTGGAATGGTTTCCATTCTTTTGACTATGAGAGTGAGCAGAACTAAGAAGATAATAGGAATTTGGCTACCTAGAGTTGAAGTCTCAACCAAGGCTGAAATAGCACCTTGCTTACTCTTTGTAGGATGGCATTGTTTATAACTTTTTTCATAGGCAATATCTTAAAGAAATCTCTAACCTTCTGTTACTCTAGGAACACCATTCTATGCTCTTTCTAAGGATATACTCAGAAATTGAGAAATCAAAATCCTATTAATAGATTTGTTTCCTTACAGTTATGTATAATTCCTTTATCACAAGCCAGGCAGGTGGTTCTGGGTTTGAATCCTCACTCTACTGCTTGTTAGCTGTTTATCTGGGCTATTGCTCAACCTCTCTGAACTTCAGTTTCTTCACGCAAAAAAGGTAGGTATCAACTCCCAACTCTTAGAATTATGGAGAAGATGAAGTGAAATGATTTATACAAAGTGGTTAACATAGCAACTAACACACAGCTAGAAAGTATTGGAGGCTAATTCTGAAGCCAGATCTTCTGGCTTTTTTCTTTTTTGCCTTTTTTCAGAGCTATTTCTATCTCCAGAGTATCTTCCTGACTCATGAAAGCTGTTCTTCCAACTGACTCCCAAGGGAGACAGTTTTTAAATTTTATCTTCTTTTTAACTTAATTTAATTTTTAATTTCAACCTGCCTCAGCTGGCTGCATCCCAGATATTGATCATGATGAGTACCCTTTCCCTAGGTGTTAAAAGAATGTGCTTAAATCCAATCTTCAATTCAATTATCTGAGAAGGGAAGAATCACTCTGCAGAAAGAAAAATCCATTCTTCAGACTCTTATTAAAACATAGATGCTTATCAATACTAGATTGTTTGAATCCGTTCTTCAATAGGCTACATTCCTCTCATCTAGCGGTGTATTTTAAGAATTATTGAGTCAGAGGTGCCTATAAGAAGACAAGTACTACAAAGAACAAAAACGGTCATTTTGATTGTTTTTATTTTTACTTGAAAAAAAAAAAAAGGCCCAGAGTGGTTGAAAAGTAATCAGATTGAGGCTCTGTGGTACTTTGTTTCTGAACAGATTCTTCTTTTGTTTTCCAATCGTTAGAAGAAAACCTGACATTAATAATGATAAACCTGAGTAAATACTTGGTTTTTTTCCCCTGACTTCTTGGGAGCTAAAGCAAAGAAACCCGATCCTGGTGTGTTGCCACTGTTTACATTTCTGTCCCCTTTGAAGCAGAGCAATACATGAGGAGGTTTATCCACTGTGGCTTCATCTCGGAAGGAATCCGAAAGCAAGCTCCTTTAGAAGACATAGTCAGCACCCTCACAAACAGGCACTCTTCTCCAAGTCCTCAAAGTCAGGCTTGCCTCCGTGACATCATGATTCTCTAAAGTGGCTTGAGTTGGGAACATTTCTGTGGCCTTTAGGATTATAACATTTTCCTGGCTTGTAAATATGGACGATGAATAATGACAATA